GTAGCAATTTGTATTTGACAAACTTTGCAAGCATTCTTGGATCATCATGCGCTAATGGTATATTGAAACAGGGATTGAGATATTCACAAGTTCGATTACAAATAGCGCCCGTAGCAAATGCTTGACGACTGATTGCTGTTGCAGTAAAATCCAAATCATGATCTGAATTTTTTTAAGATACAAATTTTTAGACAGCATTTCTGAGTAAAAAAAATTAATTCTTTTAAAATTACCAATAAATTGTCCCCACTGCATTAGCATTGTAGAATAAGTTTTATGAGGAGTGATATGATTGGTTTCAAGAAGCTGAAATACAATTACATTAATTTACTTCTTCAATTTCTATTAAAGAGTTTCGCCTTAGAACTGTTTTGCAAATAAGTAAACCTTCTTGGATACGCTTCGTGCATTGGGCTTACGGTAACCGAAATATAACTTGTTCGGATCCCATCCGACTGGCGTATTAAAACCATTTTCGTATATCGGCGGTAACAAACGTCGGAACTTCGTCTGACTCGCACCCCACATTGTGTAAATTTCATTGTTGCATTGTCCATCATAAGTTCCAAAAATTTTTAATATTCGCAATTTTTATTAATTGAAAGTGTGCTATTTAAAGAATCAAAAAATATAATTTTTACCTTTATCTAATAAGTGTAAATGATGAATGAGATGAAATTTCTTGAAAAATTAAATCAAATAAAGCCCGGATCTTGAACAAAGAACTGATAAGCCATCAAAAAAAGTTAACCGTATTTGCAGAACTGGTAAAAAACACACCGATCACAAAGGAAAGTTCAATTTACCTGATTGCAATTAATGAAATTAATTGGCACCTGTAACGTGAATGGAAACACTGTTCATCGCAAGGATCTCGAGTTTGCACTCCCGAACAACCAGCTAGTTGCACTAACATGTCAACATGAGATTTGGCAAGAACAGATTCAATAGAAATGTTCGACGAAAGTTTATCAAGAGGCAAAGTCAAACCTAGAAAATTTAAAGCTTCATATTTAATAAAATAAAACTATCATTTTCTAATCTTCTCACGTAACTCATAATTGCAATTCAAGAACTTTTGCAGTTCAGTACAACAAAATTACAACAAAAAGACTAGCCCTTCATTAAAATATTTTTGATCCTTTCCCAGCGTGCAATTTAAAGTGATAATCTATCCGATTAGATGAAGCGAAGTCTTCATGTTTGAGTGTAGTCATATCTTTTTAGCGACAAATAAAGTCCAAGACTGCCTCATAATTTCAAAATTAAATGCGTAGTCAGACAAATTTTGCATAAAATTTAAAGTTCCTAGAATCCGAAGTATTAATTTTAATGAAAATTAATTAAACCTTTTTCGACATGCTTTTGGATAAGACGTATGCTTTCCTCATAGATTTCTCGTGCACGACTAAGTTCAATTGTCTGAGGAAATGAGAATTGAAACCATCGCAATAGCTCATGTGGATTAGTTATTTTTGATAATTTTTCACGTGTTTGTTCGATAGCACTAAAATTAAATCTTAAAATTAATTTACAGCATATATTGAAAAGTTAGGAGCATTTTTCTTGGCCATTATAATTTCCGCAGAATAGCTAACAATGATCAATTATGTTTAATTTTAAGCAAACCTATCAACATTTTGTGATGCTTGTTGGAAAACGTCATGGATAAAATGATCATTTATTGAATTATCTTGAAATCGATTGTGATCAATTATTAAACGAGCTTCAGCGATCATTGAACCAACTGTATTAGCTGCCATACATGAATACACTCCTTCATCGTATTTGGTTATTCCCGAAATGGTCAATTCCATTTCATCATCTGATACCTAAACTTAGAAATTGATTTTGTCTGGAAAGAGCAAAATATGCAACGGAATAAGTAATGTAGCAAATAATACACTGAAATTGCTTACGTGAAAATGTCCTTTCAATATGTGTATTTCACCACCATTCAGAAACCACGTAATAAATGGACGAGGTTCACCATCAGCTCGACAACGGAACGTTACAGTTGAGCCTAATGATACTTTCTGATTTTCTGGACCTTCTGTAATAACAGGTGGAGAACTGGAAATGAGTCGAGCTTCTGCTGAAGTTTCAATTTGTCCAAATGCATTCTCCGCAACGCAGGTGTACCTCAAAAATTCAGGAACACATAACCCTACTAATCAGTTTGACGCAGACTTTTATTCTTTTCAGAAACTTGACCATTTATCATATTTGAAGCCAAATTTTAGGTAGTATAACAATTTTGAACACTAATAAATTCAATAAACTCACTTTCCAACATCTCTTTCAAGAAATGAATAAATATTCAAACTGGTTTGCTCAAGATTCATTCCATACTTCCGTGATCTTTTTAGCTTTTTACCATTAAAATACCAAGTTATGGAGGGTCGCGGCTTACCAGTTACCTGTAGTATTTTAAATATCAAAAATTTTGATCGGCAAAAACTAAAGATCATTAGAAGAAAACTTTCTGAATTCATACAACTATCCTAATTTAAAGAAAATCAATAAAGGAGAAGAACCTCACAGTCAAGCCGAACAGTGGTTCCTTCACGATATGAACGATCCTTCGGTTTCAGAGTAAATTTTGGTGCCGAAGGAGCGTCAAAAATTTGACGCGGAAGTCGAGATTGGCTATAATTTATTCTTGAGAGTGATATATTTTTTAATGTAAGAAAGAAAAGAACTATATAGCAAAAAATTGAAGGAATAAAAATTTTATTTTAATAAGACTTACTGAATGATAGTTGCATTGTAATCAACAGCACAGTGTAGTTCATTCAATGAAACATTAGAATTTAACAAAACCATACCATTTGATAGTATTTTGATTCCTTTCGTATTATTATCATCCACTTTTTCCTTTCTTCAAATTATCATTGTCATTCGAAGAGGGTAGATGGATTGATATTAGAAATATTTTCAATTCAACTGATTATCTTCCAGAAAATCATCTCTTTTATAACTGTTATAAATACTATGACCGTTTCAGCGTTTTTATAGTATTGAGGATTCCTCAATTATTTTTGTTTTCCGTAACAATTGGTACTCGGTAGTTTAGGATTAATATTTTAGGGAAAGATTAGGTTGAGAAGGAGAGAGAGAGAGGTACAAAAATGCAATAACATTTCATTTTGAGAATTTTACCCGTAAATGAAAGTAATTGGTGCTTTGATGTCAACTTCACATTTCGCACTACGTTTATCATCTAGCAGTTTTACTCCAAAGCATCGAAAATCGCTGCTTTTGAGTGATGAAAATTGTCGCCAACGAAGTACATCGGGGTGATGACAAACCGGTGATATACTGGAATGTTGATGAATAAAGCCAGCTAATGATAACCATCTGAAATGATAACAGTTACTGTATATTTATTTATCTCCAGTTTTCAAGCATACATAATTAGATAATTCTAATTTGTATTTCAGGTTACTGATGAATGCTTTAACATCAAATAATACACCTAACATATATAAGGAGTAAAATTTCTAAGCAATGCATGATTGCATTTCTCCAATTCGTTTACCGAAAACATTTGAAAAAATTCATTACCAATTATTATCCTCAAACATGAAATACAACTTTAAGACAAACGCCGTAAATATATTCCGTAGAGATGTTAATGCACACAATCATGCATAATAAAATATTATCATTTAAAGCTTTAGTGAAATTCCATGCAGGTTCTGCGAAGTAGCAATGATTTTAGAAAGCAACTTCCCCTTTTCTCTTTCTCAGCAATTTAATGTTTAAAAAAAAGACATAAATCTAAATTATCGAGGAATGTTTTTGCTCTTTCTCTCCTAAATTATATCATAAATTAATCCGAATTATGCAGTGACAAAGGAATCTGTGCCATCCATACCTGCAATCACAGTTTAGTGGATTACCATTCAGAATGAGTGTTTTCAGCCTCTTCGAATAATCAAAAAAATGTTCTGGAAGTATCTGAATAGCATTATCGGCCAAATTTAGCACCTGAAGATTTGGAATATTCCATAATAATTGCCGATCAATATAATCAATGCTGTTGAGTGATAAATCAATGTGATATAGATTGATGAGATGATGAGAACTGAATTTAGGAATCGATTTCAAACGATTTTTTGCCAATAGCAACCTTTTAAGGTTCAAATTTCCATCCAATGCTTCCTAAATAATTGTCATAATAGTTCAAGTTATAAAATTTCAGTTTCGAGAAAAATAAACTAAACTGTTACTTCAATCACTTTTATGAAGTTTTTTATTGTAAAAGAAAATCAAAAATTTTGATTGTTATTTATATTAGTAAAAATGTTGAAATTTGAAAAGACTTAAAATTTTGTTTTAGAAACGAAATTTTAATAATTTCATTAAGAAATGCCTTTTCAAAAGTATGAATCCAATTCCATGAAATAAGCAAAAGTTCTAATTTCTCCAAATTCTTGAAATCACTCTTGGAAATCCTCATCAGGCGATTATTTCGCAGATCTAACACTGTAGTATTGGCTGGTAGATATCGAGGTACAGCTAACAATGACTGTCGACGACAATCAATCAATCCTTTGTGACATAAGCACCGTTGTGGACAGCGACCCAATACCGCTTCGTTGCTTATCAATAGCGAAAGAAATGAAACGAAAGATAACCACGACATTGATGCAGTACAATTTTGTTTACCGTGAAATTATTTGCGCCAACACATTTGCTCCTTCAAACCCTCAAAATAGCACGATTTAGTTTTTTCATACTTGTCAATTTAATTAAGAATAATTCGGCATTAATCCGCCATTAAAGTATGTGCAGTCCTTACAAATGTAAAATCACTCCCAAATTCAAAGATACTTTTAAATTCCTTAAAATGTTTGAAAATTAGAAAAAAGATCTGCCCTCAACGCTAGCAGCAATGAAAAAGTGTTTCCAATTGAAAAAGTATCTCTCTTCTTTTACACTCAACAAATGGCTGTACACTTTTCGTAGCAAATAAAAGTTAAAAATCTTCACCAGCTGTTCGTCTATTTCCCAGTACGATGAATTGTAATTATTCTTTGATTGATATTTCTCAATTAGCAAAATAAATCTCTCTCTCTCTCTCCCTTCTTCTCTCTCTCTTTCTCTTTTTCCTTATTTTCCATTTTTAAATTTCTTAATAAAATGCAATGAAAGAAACTTTAATACTGATCGCAATTTACCATTCCTTATTGATTGATCTTTATGGTCAAACAATTGGCTTTTCAATAAGTAATTTTTGAAACGTTACAAAAATTTCTTTGCATATATTTAGATTATTTAGAAAAAAACGGTTCACTAAGTGCTGAATTAATTAAAAGTAATTAATATTAGTAAAGAATGTATCTTTCCAAGCATTTCAAAACTAGACCAGATAATGAGGTCATCCTTGTACATCAAATGACATTACCTCAAAATTCCTAATTCATCAAGCTAACACTGACGATTTTGATTACATGCTTGGTGGAAAATTATTTCATTTAATTTGGAAATACATGGACAGTTATTACTAAAATAAACTGATTAAGGAAGCTAATAAAGCAATGCGAAAATGAATAATGAAGATTAAAAAATTCGCATGTTTAGGTTCATCAGATAAACTTAAATCATAAGGGTGTGAAAAGCTTTGGAAAAAACCATGCCATATACAAGTCAGAATTTTCATGAAGGTATTAAATGGGAATATTATTGTTAGTTTTTGCAATATGAGAAAAATAATATTTTGAAATTACATTTGGAGATTAATATTTGTTTAAAATCCATGACTGAATGTTGAATGTTTCATTACATTTCATTATAAGTTATTTTGATTTTGCTTTTGATAAACGCATAAAGAGCTCAGATTTCTTTTGATAACTTCTAAATTACCAGACTTGTAGCAGAACTCTACCCAATAAACATGTTTACACTCTCTTTCCATATGCAAATCAAAGCATTTCAACAATTTGCCAATTAATTTGTTGATCAGTAACTATTTTTTATGATATGAAATTTCATGAAAAATAG